TTCGCCATGTTAGCCAGGCTGGTCTCAAACCCCATAGCCTCAAATGATCCACCTCAAAATGCTAGGATTATAGGCGTGAGCCACCATGCCCAGCCTACTATACATTTTTATAGGTATTATATAGGTCATCAGATTGAAAAAGTTCCTTTCTATTTCTGATTTATTGGGAATTTCTTCGCCTAAGTACATAAATTTTATCAGATGCTTTTTCCGCATCTATTCAAGTGGTCATATGGTTTTTCTCTTTTACTCTGATGATGTAATGATACCTGGGATAAACCCAACTTGGTTATGGCTTGTGTCCTTTCACACGTTGTATTAGTTTTTACTACATAACAAACATTCCTTTTTTTTCTTTTTTTTTTTTTTTTTTGAGATGGAGTTTCACAGTTGTTACCAAGACTGGAGTGCAATGGCACAATCTCAGCTCACCGCAACCTCCGCCTCCTGGGTTCAGGCAATTCTCCTGCCTCAGCCTCCTGAGTAGCTAGGATTACAGGCACATGCCACCATGCCCAGCTAATTTTTTGTATTAGTAGAGATAGGGTTTCGCCATGTTGACCAGGATGGTCTCAATCTCTTGACCTCGTGATCCACCCGCCTCGGCTTCCCAAAGTGCTGGGATTACAGGCTTGAGCCACTGCGCCTGGCCCATAACAAACATTTCTAAACACTAGTGGTTTAAAATAACAAACATGTACTTGCTTATGAGTCTGTAGGTTGGCAGTTTGGCCTAAGTGTAGTTGAGATGGCTCCTCTCTGTTCAAGTGGTATCAGTTAGTGTATTAACAATTCATTACTTATAAAAGTTGCCACACATTTAACAGTTTAAAACGACACTGTGGGCCAAGAATCCGGGTGTCGCTTAGCTGGGTCCTCCAGAGTCTTTCAGAAGGCTGTCGATGTCAGCTAGGGCTGGAGTCTCATCTGAAGAAGGCTTAACTGGGAAGGGATTAGGTTCTAAGCTTACTTGGTTGTTGGGAGAATTTCATTTCCTTAAGGACTGTTGGACTGAGCCTCAGTTTCCACCATGCTGCTGGCCAGAAGGTACCCTTCTTTATCACTTAGGCCTTTCCAATATGGAAACTTACTTCATCAAAACCAGCAAGGGAGAGACTCTTCTAGAAAGAAGTCACAGTCTTATATAACCTAATTATAGAAATACCATTTTATTACCTTTGCCACGTTCTGTTGGTTAGGAGCAAGTCACTAGGCCAGCCCACACTCACAAAGAAGGGATACACAGGATGTGAATACCAGGAGGCAACTATCATTCTTATCTTAGTCTCCCATAACTGAGCTCATTAATATGTTTACAGCCTTGTCTGGGTCCAGTGGCTCACGCCTGTAATCTGAGCACTTTGGGAGTCAGGTGGATCACCTGAGGTCAGGAGTTTGAGATCAGCCTGGCCAACATGGCAAAACCCCATCTCTACTAAAAATACAAAAATTAGCCAGGCATGGTGGCACATGCCTGTGGTCCCGCCTACTTGGGAGGCTGAGGCAGGAGAATTGCTTGAACCCAGGAGGTGTAGGTTGCAGTGAGCCATGATCACACCGTTGCACTTCAGCCTGGGCAACAGAGCAAGACTGTACCTCCTACATATATATATATATATATGTATAGAGCCTCAGCCTTGACAGCTGAATTTTTCTTTTCATCTAGTCTCTTACCATCCAGAGGGTAGCCTAGGCTTGTTTACATGGTAGCAACAGCAGGTTATAAGAATGACACCAGAAGCTACAAAGTCTCTTGAGGCCTAAACTCAGAACACACACTGTCACTTCACTCTGCTGGTTCAAAGCTAGTTACTGAGCAAGCCCAGATATAAAGGATAGGGAATTGACCTTTCCTTTGGATAGGAGGAGCTCCAACAAGTTTGTGACCCTTTTTAATTTACTCAGTATACTATTTTGACTTGCTAATGAGTAAATTTGCCTAATTTTTCTTTCTCATAATATCCTTGCCTGATTTTGGCATCAGGATCATGCTGGCCTTGTAAAATGAGTTGGAATTCCCAACTCTAGATATAGCACCTGCCATAGGGTAGGTGTACAAATATATTTATTGGTTGAATATAGGAATGAAAGGATAAGCAAATGCCTGTAGATAAGACAGAAGAATCAGAGAAGTAAAAATCAACTAGGGGAAAAAACATAAATAATTGAATATGACAGATTTTTTACATAGAAATTTAGTTTTATCTGCTTTTTTAAGTTTGTGTAGTCTTTCTTTTTTTTTTTTTTTTTTTTTTTTAGACGGAGTTTCGCTCTTGTTACCCAGGCTGGAGTGCAATGGCGCAATCTCGGCTCACCGCAACCTCCGCCTCCTGGGTTCAGGCAATTCTCCTGCCTCAGCCTCCTGAGTAGCTGGGATTACAAGCACGCGCCACCGTGCCCAGCTAATTTTTTGTATTTTTAGTGGAGACAGGGTTTCACCATGTTGACCAGGATGGTCTCGATCTCTTGTGATCCACCCGCCTCGGCCTCCCAAAGGCTGGGATTACAGGCTTGAGCCACCGCGCCCGGCTGCTGTGTAGTCTTTCTTTATAGGAAGACAATCTATAGTTAACTACTCTGCTCCCAAAGTGAAATTCATTTTACTAAAGCAGAACAGAAAAAAAACCTTTCCAAGTGTCTATAATTTGTATCACATTCTGAAGTCCCAGTTACTATGATAGCTGCAAAGAAGCAATACAAGGTGGAGGGTCTGAGAGGGAGAGAAATGTGACTAAAGTACAACATAGCTGAAAAATTGGCTGGCTGGGAATTATTGCTCCCAGGACGTCAGTGATTCAAGGTTTCTGTGAGCCTTGGGACTTGGGTAGGGTAAGCATTTCAAATTATATCCAAAAGTGACATCTCTGTGTTTCTTTTTTAAATGGCTGGCTTATAATGAGACCTTTACAGACTTTGTTACATTCTCGAGTTTCTATGTAATGTATAAATTGATATATGTCTAAGCTGCTATGTGGCATTTAAAATTCTCTGCAAAATTTAGCTTCAGATTGGCAATATTTGCTCTTCCTTTTTTGAATTTCACTTGGTTATTGAACAAAAAACCCCAACAGATAATTTTTTATAATTTTTTCCTCATTTATATTCAAACACTGCATATAAGATGATCAGAGACCATCTAATTGGTGATCTTGAATGGTTTCAAGTACCTGAGCTAAACATATCGCACAATTGAATAATATATTTGGTTATAGGTATACAGGCAACTTTAGCCAACAGTGAAACAGCCATTGTCTGTCAGTAGGAAGCAAATTCATCTTTACAGATCTCATTTTTCCTAGAGCTAAACTTTCTGTTTCTCCTTTATAAAGAGGTGTTGAGGCATTGCTTTATTTGGTTGTTGTGAGAGTTGAATTAGAGGATGTATTTTGTTTACTTTTTTTTTGAGATGAAGTCTTGCTCTGTGCAGTGGCATGATGTCAGCTCACTGCAGCCTTTGCCTCCCAGATTCAAGCAATTCTCCTGCCTCACCTCCCAAGTAGCTGGGACTATAGGCGCACCACTACACCCAGCTAATTTTTGTATTTTTAGTAGAGATGGGGTTTCATCACACTGGCCAGGATGGTCTCGATCTCTTGACCTTGTGATCTACCCACCTGGGCCTCCCAAAGTGCTGGGATTATAGGGGTGAGCCACTGTGCCCAACCTGTTTACTTTTTTTAACTTAACATTTTATTTAATGTTTTAATTAATAACACTATTATAAATGCTTTACAAATACTAATATATTTAATCTTCATAATAAACCTGTGAGGCAAACACTATTATTATCCCCATTTTATAGACAAAACTGAGGAACAGAGAGGTTAAGTAACATGCTCTAACATAAAGTAGTAATTGGCTGAGCTGTCTGGCTCCAGAAGTTCTGTTTTTAATCCTTATGCTATTTTGTCACTATGTGAAAATGTTTCTGTAAGCTATAGATACTGTACAGAAATTAATAGCACATATTATTAAGTATGTAACACTGTACAAGATTTATGGGAAATATAAAAGAATCAGAAGCCTGCCTTTGAAGAGTTTACAATCTAGTCGGGGAAGAGAAGTATGACATAGAAAACATCAATAATATAGCAGCCTGTAAGATCATTGTCTACTGAGAACGCTTCACATATAATAAAACATGCACTTTTTTTTTTTTTTTTTTGAGACAGAGTCTCACTCTGTCACTGGGCTGGAGTGCAGTGGTAAGATCTCAGCTCACTTCAGCCTCTGCCTCCCAGGTTCAAGCGATTCTCCTGCCTTAGCCTCCCGAGTAGCTGGGACTACCAGCTCAGGCCACACCCAGCTAATTTTTTTTTTTTTTTTTTTTTTTTTGTATTTTTAGTTGAGACGAGGTTTCACAATGTTGGCCAAGGTGGTCTCAATCTTTTGACCTCGTGATTCACCCGCCTCGGCCTCCCACTTTTTTTTAAATGCCTTATACATAGCAAAGAATCTACTGTCTGTAGTTAATGTTAGTTGAATGTAGATTACTTTAAATAATATTAGTCCCATTTCCACAGTAAGAAGACAGAAAATTCTTTTTAAAAAAATGGAGTGATCTAAATAAATAAAGTAATTTTATTTATTTATTTATTTATTTAATTTTTTTTTTTTTTGAGATGGTGTCTCTTTCTGTCGCCCAGGCTCTAGTGCAGTGGTGCGATCTCGGCTTACTGCAGGCCCCATCTCCCAGGTTCAAGCAAATCTCCTGCCTCAGCCTCCTCAGTAGCTGGGTCTACAGGCACACGCCACCACACCTGGCTAATTTTTGTATTTTTAGTAGAGACGGGGTTTCACCATGTTGGTCAGGCTGGTCTTGAACTCCTGATGGATGATGGCATCCCAAAGTGTTGGGATTACAGGGTGTGAGCCACTGCACCCACCCTTCAATACTGTATTGCTTCCAAGAGCACTAAGCAGGTATTCTGTTCCCTGGCTTAGTCATGCTTGCAGGGCAAATGGCTTTATTTGATTTTTTTTTCTTTTGGATGATTCAGTGGAGCAGCGTGACTTCATTGGAGTGGACAGCACAGGAAAGAGGCTGCTCTTCATGGCTAATGAAGCAGACTTGGATGAAGAACTGGTCATTAAGGGATCCATCCTACAGAAGTAAGCCCTAGGGTTTTTTTCTTCTGGCAATTCTCCTTGTCTTGAAACAAAATAAAACCACCCAGTGGATGGGAAAGAGGGAATGAAAACTAGATTATACTGTGTGAAATTGACAAAAGTATGTGGTGTTTTTCCCACGAGACAGGATGAAGGCTTTTCTTCACTGCGTAAGCCTGTTTCCCTGTCTTTTCTTGCCAAGGTAGAGCCAAAGGCAAAGCAGCTGTGGGGAGAACAGGACTGTCTTTCCAAAGTGTTATAAAAACCCCTTTTTTAAAAAAAAATGGTTAAAAAAACACATAGCATAAAATGTACCATTCTAACTTTTTTTTTTTTTTTTTTTTTTTGAGACGGAGTCTCTCTCTGCCACCCAGACTGGAGTGCAGTGGTGCAATCTTGGCTCACCGCAACCTCTGGTTCAAGTGGTTTTCCTGCCTCAGCCTCCTGAGTAGCTGGGATTATAGGTATGTGCCACCATGCCCAGCTAATTTTTGTATTTTCAGTAGATACAGAGTTTCACCATGTTGGCCAGGCTGGTCTCAAACTCCTGACCTCAAGTGACCCACCTGCCTTGCTTCCCAAAGTGCTCGGATTACAGTTGTGAGCCACCGCACCTGGCCCATTCTAAGTGGCCATTTTTAAGTGAACAGTTCAGTAGTGTTAAATGTGTTCACATTGTGGTGAAACAGATCTCAAGAACTTTCATCTTGCAAATCTGAAATTCTATACTCATCAGGCAACAGCTCCCCTTTTCCTTCTCTCCACAAGCCCTTAGTACCCACGATTCTACTTTAAATACCTCATGTTAGTGAAAGTATACAATAGTTGTCCTTTTGTGACTGGCTTATTTTACTTAGCATAATGTCCTTAAGATTTGTCCATGTTGTAGCATATAACTGGATTTCCTTTTTTTTTTAAGGCTGAATAATATTTCACTGTATATATGTACCACATTTTCTTCATTCTATTTATCCACTGAAAGACATTTGGGTTTTTGCCTCCTCTTGGCTATTGTGAATAGTGCTGCAGTGAATGTGGGTATGCAGACATCTCTTCAATACTTTGCTTTCAGTTCTTTTGGATGTATATCCAAAAGTGCAATTACTGGATCAAATGGTAGAGAACTATAATGTTGTTTAATTTTCTGAGGAACCTACATATTATTTCCATAGCATTTTCACCATTTTACACTCCACCAACAGTGCATAACAGTTCCAGTTTCTCTATACCAGCACTTACATGGTAGCTGGTCTCAGATACAGAAGGATAAGAGGCAACAATTCATTTATATTATATCAAAACAAATAAAACATCAAGCATGAGCAAGATCAAAAGAGTCAGAATGTCAGCTGTACAAATATACTACAGAAAACAAAATGAAAGCAAGAAAAAAATGTCCTGTAAAAGACAAAGAACCTATCCTGAAAAAAACATAACTCAAGAAATAGAAGAAATTTTCTTAAAACTATTAAACTGTATAACCACAAAACTGCTTATTAACATGAATTTAATAAATAAAAGTTCAGTAATGAGATGATAAAACAACAAAATGAAATAAAAGAGGATATTGTAGAACTAAAAAATGAGGATTAAATTACAGAGTTAATAAATTTTAAAATGGCAAAAGAACAGAATAGACACCATTGAAAATCAAATTATTGACATACAGGGATGGTTTGAGATACTCAGTGATCTAGGTAAAAAAGAAAATTGTTTAAGAAATTAGAATCTTTGAGGCTGGAGGATCACTTGATCCCAGCAGGTTGAGGCTGCTGTTAGCCATGTTGTACTGCTGCACTCCAGGCTGGGTGACAAAGTGAGACCCTGTCTCAAAAAATGAAAGAAAGAGAGAGAGAGAGGAGGGAGGGAAGAAGGAAAGGAGGGAAATAAAGAAAATAAAGATATTAGAATCTCATAGAAATGAAATACAAAAATGATTAAATATAATTAATGAATTAACACATCTGAATTAGAACGTGGAGTTCTAGAAAGAAAGAACAGAGAAATGAAGGGGGAAGAAAACATCAGTGAAATGATTTTTTAAATTTTCCGAGGATAAAAGGAGCTGGGTTTCTAGACTGAAAGAATGACAGTAAAATGGATGAAAAGAAACATACCAAGGTTATCATTGTGAAATTTTATAACTGGTAACAAGATCTTACAAGCTTCCGGAGAAGAGAGAGGATATCATATACAAAGGAATTAAAACAGTTTTGAACTTCCTAACAGCAACACTGGAAACTATAAACAATGCCTTTAATGTTCCTAATTCTATCTAATCAAACTATCAGTCAAATATGAGAGTAGAATGAGAACTTTTTAGACATTTGCTTTCCGTGTATCTGTTTTCAGAAAGCTACTAGACAAGGATGCACATTTTCACTGCTATTACTGAACATAGTACTGGAAGTCCTAGCTACAGCAGTCAAACAAGAGAAGGAAATAAAGGGCATCTAAATGGGAAAGGAAGAAGTCAAATTATCTGTGTTTGCAGATGATATAATCTTAAATTTGGAAAAACCTAAAGACTCCACTGAAAAACTATTAGCACTGATAAATACAGTAAAGTTGCAGGATACAAAATCAGCATATGAAAATCGGTAGCATTTCTATTTGTCGACAGCAAAGAATTAGCTAGGTATGGTGGCATGTGCCTGTAGTCCCAGTTACTTGGGAGGGTGATGCATGAGAATTGCTTGAACTTGGAAGATGGAGGTTGCAGTGAGCCAAGATGGGGTAGGCAACAGAGAGAGCCTCAGTCTCAAAAAAAAAAAAAAGAAAAATCTGAAAAAGAAATCAAGAAAGTAATCCCATTACAATAGCTACAAATAAAATAAAATACCTAGGGATTAACTTAACCAAAGAAGCAAAAGGTCTCTACAATGAAAATGATAAAATACTGATGTAAGAAGTTGAAGAGGACGTAAAAAATGGAAAGATATTCCACGTTCATGGATTGAAAGAATCAATATTGTTACAATGTTCATACTTCTCAAAGCAATCTACAGATTTTTGCAATCGCTATCAAAATACCAATGACATTCTTCACAGAAATAGAAAAAACAATCCTGAAATTTATATGAAATTGGCCAGGCGTGGTGGCTCACACCTGAAATCCCAGCACTTTGGGAGGCCAAGGCGGGTGGTTCATTTGAGGTCAGGAGTTCAAGACCAGCCTGGCCAATGTGGTGAAACCCTGTCTCTACTTAAAATATAAAAATTAGCCAGGCATGGTGGTAGGCGCCTGTGATCCCAGCTACTTGGGAGGCTGAGGCAGGAGAATCTCATGAAGCCGGGAGGTGGAAGTTGCAGTGAGTCGAGATTGTGCCATTGTAGTCCAGCCTGGGTGATGGAGTGAGACTCCATCTCAAAAAAACAATTACATGGAATTACAAAAGACCCAGAATAGCCAAAGCTATCCTAAGCAAAAAGAACAAAACTACAGGAATCACATTCCTATAATTATCACATTACAGAATCACTTCAAATTATACTACAGAGCTATAGTAACAAAAACAGCATGGTACTGGCATAAACACAGACATATAGGTCAGTGGAACAGAATAGAAAACCAAAGATAAATCCATACATCTTCAGTGAACTCATTTTTGACAAAGGTACCAGGAATATACATTGGGGAAAGGACAATCTCTTCAATAAATGGTGCTAGGAAAACTGGATATCCATATGCAAAAAAAAAATGAAACTAGACCCCTGTCTCTTGCCATACACAAAAACCAAATCAAAATGGTTAAAAATCTAAATCTAAGACCTCAAACTATGAAGCTGCTACAAGAAAACATTGGGGAAAGTCTCCAGGACATTGATCTGAGCAAAGATTTCTTGAGTAATACCCCACAAGCACAGGCAACCAAAGCAAAAATAGACAAATGGGATCATATCAACTTAAAAAGCTTTCACACAACATAATCAATAAAGTAAAAAGACAACCCACAGAATGAGAGAAAATATTTGCAAATTACCTATGTGACAAGGGATTAATAACCAGAATATTGAAGGAGCTCAAACAACTCTATAGGAAAAAATCTAATAATCTTAATTTTTTAGTGGGCAAAAAATCTAAGTAGACATTTCTCAAAAGAAATTATATAAATGCCAAGCAGATATATGAAAAGGTGCTTAACATCACTGATATCAGAGAAATGCAAATAAAAACAATGAGATGTCGTCTCACCTTAGTTAAAATGCCTTGGTAGTAGCAAATGCTGGCAAGGTGGTAGAGAAAGAGGAACTCTCATATACTGTTGATGGGAATGTAAATTATTTTAATTTTTTCTTTCTTTTTTTTTTTTCTTAGAAGCAGAATGTCTGAAGTGAGAACAAAGGGAATGTAAATTAATACAGCCACTATGGAGAACAGTTTGGAGGTTCCTCAAAAAACTAAAAATAGGGCTACTATACAATCCAGCAATCCTACTCCTAGGTATATACCCACAAGAAAGGAAATCAGTATATTGAAGAGATATTTGTGTTCCCATGCTTATTGCAGCACTGTTCACAGTAGCCAAGATTTGGAAGCAAGCTAAGTGTCCATCAACAGATGAATGGATAAAGAAAATGTGGTACATATACACAATTGTATACTATTCAGACATAAACAATGAGATTCTGTCATTTGCTAACAACATGGATGGAACTGGAGGTCATGTTAAGTGAAATAAGCCAGGCACAGAAAGGCAAACTGCATGTTTTCACTTACTTACTTGTGGGAGCTAAAAATCAGTGGAACTCACTGAGATAGAGAGTAGAAGGATGGTTACCAAAGGCTGGGAAGGGTATAGGGTGTGGGATTGGGAGGAGTGGGGAATGGTCAATGGGTACAAAAATTTAGTTAGAAAGAATGAGTAAAACCTAATATTTGCTAGCATAACTGGGTAACAAAGTCAAAAATAACTTAATTGTACATTTTAAAATAACTAAAAGAGTATAATTGGATTGTTTGTGACACAAAGGATAAATGCTTAAGGTAATACCTCCATTTAACCTGATCCGATTATTACATATCACATGCCTGTATCAAAATATCTCATGTAACTCATCAATACATATACCTAGCATGTACCCACAAAAATTAAAAATTAAATTAAAAAAAGGAAAGCTACTAGAGTTTATGTAACACTGAAACCTTAGCATAAACTAAGAAAGAGGAAGACACAAGATATAAGAAAAAGGGCATTCACTCTTGAACCTCGGAGGCGGAGGTTGCAGTGAGCAGAGATCGCATCACTGCACTCCAGCCTGGGCAACAGGGGGAGACTGTCTCAAAAAAAAAGAAAGAAAGAAAGAAAAAGGACATTCAATTAAGATAAAATGAATCCTCAGGATGATAATAAAGGGAGATTCAAGGATAACACATGTATACCCAGTAAAAATGGCAACTAGATCAGACTGGAATAGGTCAGAAAACTTGGGAATGATTTCTTCAAGATGATCATATTTCTTC